TTTTTGGTGGGTGCCCTTCCCATGCTTCGTGCTTTCCCCATCTCCCCCAGTGCAGGCTTTGGTCCTTCGCGAGGTGGGGATGGGGGTATCCCCTGGCTGTCCTGCGGGGCGGCAAGAAGGTCTGCCAGGTCTCTGCGGGCTGTGGGGCAGAGCCTGGTGACGGGCCTGCCTTTCTCTCCGAACCGGAAGGGAGACCTTCTCCCAGGTAGCTGGGCTTCTCCCGAGAGGCTCCTTGAGTGTCCTGCTTGGGTGGGGGCGGAGGCTCCGTCTGGTTGCTAGTGTCCTGGACCCACAGTCAGGAGGCAAGGCCTCCTTTACCCTCCCATCCCCCCCATCCCCCAGTCCTGGGCTGGACTCCCTGAGACCCGAGGGTGGGGGCTTGGGAGGGGTGAGGGGGTTCCTGCTCATCACCGGCCCTCTGAGGGGCCTGCTCGGGACACGCCTGGAGCTGTGATTTGCATCACCTTCTTCATCACGGGTCGGTACCTGCGTGGGGGCACACTCCCCGCTTCCCCACGTCAGGCCGGGCCGGCGACTTACCTCAGGAGCAGGTGAGCAGGGCGCGGCCACGTCCCGGGGAAGCTGGAGGACCGGCGTGACGCTTTCCCTCCTCCCCAGGATGGCCCTGCGGCTGGCGAAGCGCACGGGGGACAGGAGGACAGGTGAGCAGAGCTGCGAGGACCCGGGACGGACGCACCTGCGTGACGAGGCCCTGTGGGGCGCGCCCGCGACTCCGCCAGCGCGTGTCCTGGGGCCGAGGCCGCGCGTCCAGCTCCACCATGGACCAACGGGCGGAAGCGCCACGGCCCTGTCCACGGCCCTGTCCACGGCCCTGTCCACGGCCCTGTCCACGGCCCTGTCCACGGCCCTGTCCATGGTCTCCTCGCCAGGCCCTTTGTGCTCGGGCCCGGTCCGCTGTACAGGGCATGGAGGGGCGCGACGGGCAGTCAGCAGCCGGGCGGTCAGCAGCTGGGCACTGGATGCTGCCACACTCACTTCGCTGCCTCCCCTGCTTTCCTGCTGGGCAAGGCCATTGATCACTGCGAGGGGCGGGCGGGGACAGGCCCCTCTCCCTAGCTCCACTGTGCGGCCCGCAGGGCTCGGAGGCGGGTCCGGGAGCGCCGCCCTGATGCCCGGCGCCGTTGGGGTGCTCGTCTCACCCTCGCGAGAGCCCTTTTCTCCCACGTCCCCTCCCTGAGGCCTTGAGGTCTCCTTAGGTTTTGAAACGCTCTGCATTGTTCTCAGATTTCAAAGTCACGGCCACTGGCCAAACACAACATGTTTTTGTGAACATAACAGTAAAACCTGGTCACTAAAATATACTTGGAAAATTGGAAAAGCATCGGAAAAAAACCGAAAGCCACATCGCGGAGTCGCGGGGGCTGCGGGCATTTCGCCTGTTTCCCCCTGGTGCAGGGCAGCGTGCGGTTCCCCTGGTTCTGAACCTTGAGCCTCACGCAGCTCCAGGCTCCCTCACGCTCAGGGGCACTGCCCCCTCCCCTAACCAGAGCCGCTCCTGCCCCCCCCACCCCACCCCCGCACAGCCTGTCCTCGTCTGGCTCGGTGACACCGCAAAGGCCCTGCCCTCTCAGACGCCCGGCTTCCAGGGAGGAGGGCGAGGCCTGCTGTTGGAAGGTGGTACTTTGCTCAGAGAGAAGGGCGGGCTCCCCCATGACCTTCGGTCCGCAGGATGCCCCAGGGTGTGTGGAGTTTGGGGGAAGCTCACACTCAGCTGGGGTTCAGTCCCCACCCAGCCACCTTGGTTCTTCCGCCTCCTCACCCCTGTACCAGGCGGCCTCCGTCCTGGGCGGCGGCCCCACCCGGGCTGCACCTGCGCCTCCTTGGGACCTGGCGCCCTGGGGACACTTCCCAGCTGTCTCGCCTGCAGGTGGCGTTCGCCTCCCGCTCTGCATCCCGACCTCCCCCCCAGGAGGCTCGCCCGCGTCTGCCCTTGCCTGCCCCACCCCAGCTCAGGCCCCGTTGGCTGCATCTCCTCTTCTGCCTTCCTTCTGCTCTGCTTCTGGACGGTTGTGTTTCTGGCATTTTCCTCTAGCATGGGTGCTACGGACTGAACTCTGTTTCCCAACACTCATGTGGAACCCCCAATGTGACGGCATTTGGAGATGGACCATTGGGGGAGCTAGGGTTAGACGTGGTGACAAGGGTGGAGCCCCACAATGGGACATGAGAAGAGACGCCGGGGAGCTTGTGCTCTGTCTGTCATGTGACTCCGTCTGCTGTCCCCCGAGGAGGGAGCTCTCCCAGAAGCGACTTGGCTGCTGAGGCCTCCGCTGGATGCCAGCCTCCGGGCCGAGGAGTGGTATCTGCCGTTCAGGCCCCGTCTGGCGTCTGCCATGGCCGCCCGAGTCTCTTGGGCAGTCCTGGTCCCCCATCACTGAGTATCTGCGCCCTCAGGTGTCCCCCGCAGCCCGTTGTCCTGATAGCGTCCCCTATAGGGAATCGTGTACAACGTGACCTTTCGAGGCTGCTTTCTTCCTCTCTCCCAAGTAGGCAATGCCGAGCGCATGGCCCCTGGCTCCCCTGCTCGCCGCCTAAGGACGTCAGGTGGCTTCTGTTCGGCACTGGCGACCAGACACGCAGCAGGCGTTTATGCACAGGTTTTTGTGTGAAGATACGTTTTATTTCCTCTGGGTAAGTGCTCAGGAGTGGGAATGCTGGCTCAGGAGTTAGGTGGATAATTGACTTTTTAAGACATTGTCCAGCTGTGGTTTGGAGCAACTGGACCGTTCACAATGTGTGAGAATTGTGGGCTCTACCTCTCCAGCCTGAGTGACCAACCACCGGCTGTGCCCAGGATGGCCGGGTGGCGGCGTGGCCTCTGGGAATGGGGGTGGGGCTTCCACTGTTAAAAGTGGGAAACTCCTGGGAAAACTGGGCTGGTTGGTCACCCTATCCTTGTCACCACTTGCTAGTGTGGTATTTTCATTTTAGCCATTCTACTACGTGTGTGGTCAGTCTCTCGCCACAGTGTGACTTGCGTTTCTCTGATATTTGATGACGCTGAGCATCTATCTGTTCATGTGCCGTTTGCATCCACATATCCTCTTTGGTGAACTAAGTCTATTCTCAATTTCTTTCTTATTGGGTTGTTTTCTAACTGGTTAGTTTTGAGAGCTCTTTATAAAGTCTCAGTATATATACAGTTGGCTATGAGATTTGCAAATTTTTTTCCACAGGCTATAGCTTGTCTTTTCATTTTCTTAACAGTGTCTGAGAGTAAAATTTAAACATTTTGATAAAGCCCAATTATCTTTGTTTTTCTATATTTGTGGTAAAATATACATAACACAAAATTCACAATTTTAACCATTTTTAAATGTATAATTCGGTGGCATTAAGTAAATTCACGATGCTGTGTAACCATCACCACTATCTGCAATCACCACAAACATAAGCTCTACTCATTAAGTAATAACTGCCCCCGACCCCTCGAATCGCTATTCTACTTCCAGTCTCTAGAACTGGCCTATTCTTGATACCTCATGTAAATGGAATCATACAATATTTATCTCATTGCCACTGGCGTATTTCCCTTAGCATAATATTTTCAAGGTGCTATGTTTTAGCATGTGCCAGAACATAATTCCTTTTTAATTTCGTGTTATTTATTTATAACCGTGGTGAAATACACAAAACATAAAATTTCACCATCTTAACATTGCACAGTTCAGTTGTGTTAAGTCCGTCCACAGGGAGGCGCAGCCGTCACTTCTGTCCCCAGAACTCAGCGTCCCAAACGGCCCTCGGTCCCCCTCGACCACGCCCCGCCCACCCCTCCGCCGGGCCCGGGCACCACCGCGCTCTCTGACTTCTGTGGGGACCTCACAGGAGTGGGATTACAGTGTTTGTCCTTCTGCTTCTGGCTGATTTCACTGAACACAGGTCCGCAAGGTTCCCCCAAGCGGCAGCAGGTGTCAGAACGGCCTCCCTTTTCCAGGCTGAATGACCTCGCACCGTCCGTCAACACCACAGCCGCCACCCTCTCATCCCTTCAGGGCGCTGGGGCTGCTGCCAGCGCAGGGCCCGCCGGGTGGGGCAGCGCAGCAGCAGCAGGAGGGCCCAGCACCAAAGTGGACGCAGAGGGGGAAGCCGGACGGAGAGGGCGGGGAGGATAAAGGGCAGGACGGTGGGCAGGAGGGAGAGCGGAGCGGGGGAGATGAGCCGCGGAGGAGCAGAAAGGGAGAAAGGGGAGAAGGGGGCGGGGCGGCCGCGACCCCAGAGCCCGGGCGCC